CTGTCGTAGAATATCGGCAAAGAACTTGATAAAGGACTCGTCTTTACCTACTGGAGATCCGAGATGTGTTAAAGCGTTCAATGGTGTATGATTGAACATAGTTTCGTGGTTAAGGTCAATGATCCCAAGAGGACAATATTCGCTTTTGTCTTGATTAACTCAAAGTCCCAAACTTTTCTCGCTGGATTTTATTATTTGGATTGCCTTCATAACTACAGCCGGTGGGCCGCCTAGTATACCATCGTCGATATACCAGTTATGAAGATTTAGCTTGCATTGGTCATTAATGTCTCGTATTAGACTATTAATGCCCAGACAGAACAAAAAGGAACCTAGAGGGTCACCTTGTTGAATCCCATCGCTAGAAGGAATCAATCTATCTTCGAATTGAAGATGCGAGGGATTAGCATAACAATCGAAGATAAATTGTGAGAATTCTGGGTAGAGGATGAGGATGATTTAGAAAAGCTCCACATCTTAGAGAGTTAAAGGCGTTCGAGAAGTCTATTTTGACTAGGATATCGTTGGTGGGGTCCGTTTGCAGATACACCCGGGTCATGTGAAAGGATCCCTAATATCCACCTTTTACGTTGACTCCTAATTGATTCGGGCAAAGGTGATTGGATATTGTGAGCAATAATCTGCTAACTACTAGTTTTGCAGTTAATCGGCGCCCAGTGGTTCCAATAGCGATTGAGCGAATATCTTTATTGGGTTTATGGAGAGCGATGTAGCTCCGTATACCAGTGGAAATAATGGCGGGTGGTATGCCTCCAGTAAGTATACGGTTGATTAATTGGATAATCGTTTTTCATAGATTAATTTATATAAATTATAAATGACTCAAAGGTTAACTTATGAATTATATACAATTCATAAGATAGGTATTCTCTTCCAAAATCCTATCTTCAGCCTCATCGTGGCTGGGGAGTGGCAACGTCTTTTAGCGGCTAATGGAGGTCTAAAAGGTTCCCAGTGATCTGGGTCTAGAATAGGATCATTGTCTCCTCGACGGGGTGTAAAAACCACTTAAAGAGGTTGATGTCAGGAAGGGCATCCGATTATAAAAACCTTGCTACAAAATTTCCCTATGGTTATAACAAATGGGCGGGGTACAGCCCAAAGTACCCCGTGGGCCTCCTCATCCGCCTACGACAAAAAGAAGGATGGGAAACCTGGTGGAACCACTATTCATGAAAATGAAACTTATGACGGCCATAAACAACCTGATAAAAAGTGGAGAAACCAGTTTACGGGTGATCGAGTTAGTATGACGGGATGAGCGGGAGAAGTCGTCGATGTATTGCACAGAAGACATATAGATGTGTGCTGCATACAGGAGACTAGATGGAAAGGAAATGGGACCAGAATGATTGGCAAGACTAGCGAAAAGTATAAATTCTTTTGGCAAGGAGGTAATGATAGTAAGGCTAGAGTTGGGGTATTGGTTGCGGAGAAATTGGTAGACATGTAGTCGAAGTGAGAAGGCTAGACAACCAGATAATGGTTATCAAGATGATATTTGGTAGAAAGCTATATAATATTATCTCGGCATATGTTCCTTAGGTTGGAAGAAGACAGTCTATTGGGGATGACATCGAGACTGGCAAATGAAGAGGGGATTATCCTGGCTGGTGATCTGAATGGACAAGTGGGAGCGAGTAGTGAGGGTTATGAAGGAGTACATGGAGGGTTCAGTTACGGCATGAGAAATTTGGAAGGAAAGAGGATTTTAGAATTTAGTGATGCTATGGATATGATTGTTTGTAATACAATGTTTAAGAAAGAATCAGAGAAGCTGGTGTCTTATAAGTCGGGTAGTACCAAAAGTGCTGTGGATTACTTGTTATTAAGGAGATGTGATCGATGTATAGTAAAAAATGTGAAAGTGATACCGGGAGAGGAATGTATAAATCAGCATCGACTAGTTGTAGGAGATCTCACTCTTAAAGGTGCCAGGGTCACTAAAAGAAAGTTTGTCCCAAGGCTGAAGGTTTGGAAATTGAAGGAGGAGAATGCTAGACGTCAATTCAATATGGCATTGGCGTTTAGGGAGGCGGAGGTGGCACAAGCATCTGGGGTGAATGACAAGTGGGAAGCCATGAAGAAAGCCTGGGTAATGACAACTGAAGAGGTATGTGGATGGACAAAAGGGCCGCCTAGACATAAGGAGACGGAGCCCGGAGGTAGCGAAAGCCGTGGATGAGAAACGGAGGTGTTTTAAAGTATGGTATAATAGCAAAGAAAATAGTGATAATGATATTTACAATGGCTAAAAAAAATGCTAAGAAATTAATAGCGAAGGCTCAAGAAGAAAAGGTTTGCTAAAGAAATGGAATGCGCTGATGGAATTGGAAATATGGTTCGAATGGCAAAACAGATGTCAAAAAAGAGGCAGAAAAATATGGAAGGAAAAATGACGATTGATAGTAGTGGTATTAAGAACACCTGGAAGATTTATATGAAAGGACTTTTGATTGAAGAAAATGAATGGAATAATAATATTAGTTTTGCAAAGGTAGAAGGTCCAGGGTGTAAATTTGGCAAGGACAAGATAAAGAGAGCAGTGAAAAAGATGAAGAAAGGGAAGGCATCGGGTTTAACGATGGTGGTATCAGAGATGTTTAAAGGTTCTGATGATTTAGGGATTGAATGGTTAATGAATTTAGCAAATCAGATTGTCACAGAAGGTACTATTCCCTAGGACTGGTGAAGAAGTATAATTATCCCAGTATACAAGGGGAAAGGTGATCCTTTAGATTGCGGGTCTTACAGAGCTATTAAACTCTTGGAACATGCAATGAAAGTATTTGAGAGTGTTAGAGAAGCGTTTAAGGGAACAAATTAAAATTGATGAAATGCAGTTTGGTTTTACATCGGGAAAAGGCACGACAGATGCAATTTTTGTGGTGAGACAAATTCATGAGAAGTATCTTGCGAAGGAAAAGAAACTCTATTAAGCGTTTGTTGATTTGTAGAAAGCATTTGATAGGGTGCCGCGTGAGATTTCAAGATGGGCCTTGAGAAAATCCGGTGTGGAGGAATGGTTGGTTACCGCAGTGATGGCAATGTATGTTAAAGCACAAACAGCAGTACGGACGGATTATGGTGATAGTGACAGCTTTGAGGTGAAGGTAGGACTTTATCAAGGATCCGTGCTGAGTCCATTATTATTTATCTTAGTAATGGATGTGGTGGCTAGAAAAATGCGTGAAGGACTTCCCTGGGAGATATTATATGCAGATCACCTTGTATTAATGGCAAACAGTGAGGGAGAAATGAGGGATAGTTAGTAAATGGAAGATGACTATGGAAGCAAAGGGTCGGAAAATGAATGCATCAAAAACAAAGGTGATAATTGGTGGGAAAAATCTAAAGATGGAAGAATCCTGTAAGTGGCCTTGTGGTGCATGTGGGAAAGGAGTTGCTAGAAATTATATCCAATGCACCAGATTCCAGAAATGGGTACATAAAAGATGTAGCGGGAAAAAAGGCAGTTTGATGTTAGAAAGAATGACCTTTATTTGTAAAACATGCATGAAAGGGATACATAATAATGATAACCTAAAAAATGGTGGTCTGGATATTGGCAATGGGTTAATCCTAGAAAAAGTGGATAAGTTTTGTTATTTAGGTGATATGCTAAACGCAGATGGTGGTGTTGATTCTGCCGTTGTTGCAAGGATCAGACAAACTTGGAAGAAATTCAGAGAGATGTCGTCTATTCTAACAAATAAAAAAGTTACTCTGAAGTTAAAGGGGAAAGTTTACGTAAGCTGTGTGAGGAGTTGTTTAGTTTATGGGGGTGAAACATGGGCAATGAAAGCAACTCACGAAGCCAAATTAGAAAGAACAGAGATGAGGATGGTTAGATGGATGTGTGGGGTATCTTTGAGAGAGAGAAAAACTAGCAAGGAATTGCGAGCAGAAATGATTGGTATGGTAATGCGACAAAATAGACTAAGATCGTTTGGTCATGTGGAACGTATGACAAGAGATGACTGGGTAAAGTGATGCACAAGGATGGAAGTAGGAGGATCAAGACCTAGAGGAAGACCCAAGATGACGTGGACAAATGTGATAGAGGCGGATATGAGAAGCATGAATCTTACAAGTATTGATGCTCAGGACCGTCAAAAATGGAAAAGAAAAATCAGAGGGAAAACTGGCCTACCCGGGTAAACCTGGAAATTGCCATAAAACGGAGAAGAAGAAGATAAGATAGGTATTCTAAACATGCTGAAATACATTTCGGGTAAAATCAGATTTTTAAATTTAAAAAAACACGCTCAAAAATGATTTCAAGTTGAAAAATAACATTGTCAGAAAAACACATTGACGCTAACATATATTTCTAATTTGCATTTTTTTTCCTGGGTGGTCCAACTACACTCTTTTGCATCCTGCTGCACACAGAACAATTGTGAAGCAAATACAACTAGAATAAATCAAAATTAAATAAAGAAAATGCTCATAGTTTTCATCTTCAGTGTCAAATTCCAAAGTAGTGTTGTTAAACGGCCCGTTTTGAGTCGATTTTTAAAAAAGGCTAACTCAATATTTCATCCAGAAAAATATTACGCAAGCCTGAAGATTTTTCTCATAGAAGGAACAAAGGTTTGACATATATTATAATCTCGAGCCTTAGGCAATATTTTTCTAGCTAAAATATAGAGTTAGCCGTTTTGAAAAATGGCTCAAAATAAGTCGTTTAACAGCACTATTCAAAACCCATTTACCCTATTTTAAAAGTCCATAAAACAATATTTAAATTTTACCAGATGATTTAATAATTGATTTTGTTATAGATAAAATGAACCATTTCAATAGTCATCCTATCAAGATGATTAAAAAAATATTACCACAAAAAATATATTTTTCCAACAAGTAGAATTTCTTAATCAATTTAAAAATTTATGCATGGAAACCTGCGGAAACGTTGTTAAGCCCCTGAAAAAAAACACATTTGTCAATCTATAAAATAAGAAAAGAAAAATTACCCTGATTCTTCTCATTGCTATAACGATATCCGTCCGGTTAGTTGGTTTGGGGACTTCCATGCTTCCGATATACTAAATTAAAAAAATATGTAAATTAAATTTTGAAAATTAATTTATATAAATTCTGAAGGAGTGTTAGGTAAATTTACTAAGAAGTAATGCTGTAAACATTTAATAAATTTCTTTCACGTTTGTAGTTCATATTTAGCCATTGGATTCAATATTTTACTTTAGGGCTCACATTCATGAATAAAGATTCTCTTAAAATATATAATGGGTAAGTCATTGAATTGGGAAATATTTTTATAATATTTTATATAAAAAACAAACTATTTTGTTTTATAGATTAAAATATAGATATAGGAAATAAAGTTAAAAAATAGGAATTCCACAATTAAGAATCATTTCAAATATTTAAATAATTTCGAATATTTACCGATTATTTCTAATAATTCGATTGAATAATAGATAGAAATTTATTCGGCAGATAGTATGTTTTAATTAATCGTATTCGAATCTAATAATTTTGTCATTCGTAAAATATGAATCGAATAATTATTTTAGGAAGTAATTTATACGAATAAATAAATATTAAGAGTTGGTGGTGTTTAATTTTTTTTTAATGGAGAAATACTACTGACATGGGGATTTTTTTAAAAATTTTATAAATTATCTACCATTACTTTATTATGATAGAATATTTAAAATTCAGTTCTTCAATATAAAAATAATAAGAAAATTTTTTCCTGCAAACCCTAATTGAATTTATAAATATCCATGTTGGGGAAAAAAGAATTCCTAACATAACAGTCCTGAACAAGTTTATTTTTGAGATTCGAAAATTGGAATTTTTTAAAAAAATATCAATTCTTTCTACACATAGGTTTCAGGTTAAATAAATATAGGATTTAGATTAATATCTGTCTTATAATTTCTCTAATAAATTAGGTTGAATATAGTTAGGATAGGTCTATGGGATGTAGCTTTAGTCATTACTTGCTTTTAAGGTACAATTAGTAGTTTATAGTTAAAATACCTTTTTTGATAAGTAATTTAGTTTGCAATTTAAGAAAAATTCCACACTTGATTAATTTTGCTCTATAAGATAATCACGTAGAAAAAGTTGATATATTACAATTTAATATTAGTAAAAATTGAGCTCTAGCTCTATATAATGTCCCCAAAATTTTTAAGGTTTATTTCAATTTTATATAAAGCTTAGTGTATAACGTAACATCTATATTTATTAATATTTTTTGAAATAAAGAAATTTGGCTATTATTATACAGTGTCATTTTTTTCGGTGTATCTTTTCCTAAACAATATGATGTAGCATTCGTTTTTTAAATAATAAGCAAATATTTAAGAAAAGACCAATTAGATATTTGTGTGTATACAGAAAGATAATTCTTACAAAATTTCTGTTATGATTTTTTTCAAGGTTATACTATTCGTTCCTTTGTTCTTTTTCATCTTCCCAAGATACCTCTAGTATTCGTTTTTTAAATTATAACTCAAATAAGAAATGGCAGATTAGATATGTGCGTATACATAAAGATAATACTTGCCTTGAAGATTTCTGTTATGATTTCTTTCAAGATTATACTATATGTCCCTATGTTCTTTTACAACTTTATCCCCCCCCCCCTCAAGTGAATTATTTAAAAGATGGTTAAAGCATTTAATTGCATAAGAAATTTAAAAAAATTATTTTTAAAATTGTGGATTAAAATTAATTAATGAAAAAAAAAATTGAATATAAATTCTTCCAAATTGAGGCTTGAAAGTCTTTGACAAAGCTATTTTAGCCATTTATTAACTAATATTTTGTGCTGGAAAAATGTTTGCATGAATAATTTTTTGATTGATATTTCTGGGTATATTAGCATGAGAATATAAATAACAATATTGAAAAAGGTTTATTCTTTTGAAAAATTATTCGAAAAGAAGTATTTAATATAAAAATAAATAAAAATTTGAAAAAATTAATATAAACTAGAATTGCGTCATTTGGCAATGGGTGAGTTTAATATTTTTTCATATATATTTATATGAAAATATTATTATAAATAGATAAAATAAATAAAAAAATGATATTATTATTGATGATTTATATCTTAGCTTTTTAAAAATAAATACATTATAATTGAATATTTTTTGATACGGCTAGTGCTGTTAAATGGCTAAATTTGAGCCGATTTTTAAAAATGGCTAACTTAATATTTTATCCAGAAAATAATGCATAAGCCTCGAGATTTAGTAGATCAAACCTTTCGCCATCTCAATGAGTAAAGTTTACAGGCCTGCATAATATTTCTCTGGAAAATATATTGAGTTAACGGTTACTCGGCTCAAATCGAGCCATTTAATTTGGCCAATTTGGCATCAGTATTAATACAATGTTGATAAACTTTAAAAGTACCCTCTAGAATAATGCATGTCAAAAAAATCTGACAAAATATCCAGACCTGCCCCCCGATTTTTTTGACGAGGTCTAATATGACGCTACCTATTGTAGGAATAATCGATAGCTAATGTTGTTAAAAGTTAATAGTTACACTTTAAAAGTTAACTAATAACTAATTAGAGTTATATTTCAAATTTAATTATATATATTGCAAGTTTAACACAGTATGATATTTATTTTTCAAAAAATCTTAATAAATTTAATTTTAAAAGTTTAAAAATTTTAATTAAATCATATGTTAAATTTATAAAAAATTTTAATATTTTGGACATGTTTATATTTTTATATTAAAAAAGCTTAAATTTATTTTTCTATAAAATTTCAAGTTTACAAAAGTATTTTTTGATATTTTAGGTTTAGCCTTAACAATAAAATATTTTCAAATAGGTGCCTTAAAGGCTTTCCCCTGACTAAACTATTTTTTTACAAGTGCGATTGATTAGTGACATTATATTTAATAAATAAGCAGCATGTTGGATTTGGCAAATAATAGATAATCAATTATTAATATTATAAAAGGCAATAATTAGTAACAGTTTAAAATGTGTTTGTAACTAATTTCTAACTATACTATTCCAATAAAAATAAGAAACTGGCTTAAACTATTATTTTATGTGGAAAAGCATATATGGAGTTTTGTTTAAAAAAATAAATACTTGCAATTCTGGAATATTTTTCACTTATATTAATATAATATTCAAAAGACGGACTTTAATATTTTCTTAATTAACCACCAATTTTTGCGCTGATATTAAGCGAAATTGTGATATCATGACAAAAAACCAATTTTTATAAATAACTCAAGAATTTAACTATTTAATAATAACAAATTTAATCTTTTCTTAGACACAAAAGAAATATTTTATTTAAGTAGGGACTAGAACACAACACAGGAAAATTTTTTTATTGTTTTATTGCAAAATATTAAATTTGAAGTTATTATTTATTAGCTTTTTAAATATTGTTTTTGTAATTTTTTTCTTTAGCTCAGATTATCGGCGACAAATAACTGAAATGACACTTTTACATTGATGTGTAAATTAATTATTATACTTCAGAATTTATTGCTATTTTTATTAAAAAATAATAAATATGCTCGTGTTGCTATTGGTGGAAATTTTTTGATATAAAAATAATTCAAAGTTTTATTACTCAAAAGTTTTAAGAATTGCATAACTTTTATGAAAATTTTCACAATTCTTTAATTTTACATTAAAAATGGCTCATATATTTATTAACTTTCATGAAAATTTTAACAATTCTTTTATTTTACATTAAAAATGATGGCTCATATATTTTTTTTCGTTGCGTAATTTACGGGATTTTTTTTTTTTTAATTTTAAAAGTACGTGTTATTGATGATATTAAGTTAGGACTATTAAATCAAATACTATATAATTAAGCAATTTAAATTTTAAGGATTCTATATAAATTTATATCATTTAATTAATTAATTTAAATCTGATATATGTTTAATACTTAATAAATAATTCACATATATATGAATGACAAGAAGATTTTCTTCCTGTTCTGAGGATGCTCTCCTTAAGATCCCTCCATAAACGCTCAATACGTTGAAAGTTTCTGCTGTGATTGACTGAGTAATGATCATATCCATTTTCATTAAGATCGTTAAAACTTGAAAATATACTATTTTAAGATTTAATTTACCCCTTCCATTTGTCCGTCATTATAATTGAATCAGTATGAACGTGCTAATCTCTTTTTCAGTTTCAGAAATAAATTTCTACCATACCTTGATATCCCACCTACAACCCAAATGGCATTTGATTATAAAATCCTTCCTGTGTTATTTTTTCTTTCAAATATATGGGATTCATCTATTTCGATTATATGTCCAGGGTCCCCTATTTCAAGAGATGACCTGTGTATGCTAGCTTTTTTAAATATTGCATACCTAAAAAAACTTATTGGCATATTTTACCATTTCCCAATAGTACTTCGTGCCAACCCTATTAAACTATCACTGTCATTATAGAAGTCCTGGACACAAAAAGATATAATAGCTGGATAAATTTGTTCATAGGAAGATTAATATTTTAAAATATAGTGCCTAGTTAATAAAATAATTTAAAAATTAATATAATATTTAACCCTTCTACATAGAATAGCTGCTTGAGCATCTTACTCCATAAGATGCCGCATTTTTCTCCAATTTCATGCTATTATAACAACAAGTGTAATTAAAAATAGCTCATGTAAAAAAAATTCATGGTTCTTTTGTATATGAAATTATGATCTCGGTAAAATTGATGTCCATAAAAAGGGAGGGGGGGGGGAATATTTGTTAAATTTAAAATTTTTATACATTAAATTAATATTTATTAATTGAAAAATTTTCAACTAATGGTCACAATAAAATACACCAATTACCACAATGGCATATTTAACTATTATTCATTAATAAAAATATATTTAAAAAAAATAAATATAAAAAAAATAATATTAAAAATTTCTCCTAGTTTCAGTGACTTGTATAGTATATGTTAAATTTATTTATTTATTCCTTCCTTCGAGTTTTTAGGACCGGCCCAATCCAATTTATTTTTTCAAATAGAATTTTTTTGACCGATTCGACTATTTT